TTGCATTCTCCATCAAAAAAGAAGGCAAAGACAGTGCCATCAGCTGCGAAGGTGATGGGCACAGTCTTCTTGGATGCAGAGGGGTTTATTCTGGCCGAATTCCTGGAACCTTGGCAATCATCAATGCTGCTCATTATGTTCAGACGCTGCACAAGCTCCGTTGTGCATTGCGCAATAAACATCTGGGACGAAACATCATCATTCTGCATGACAGCTCTCACCCCCACGCTGTTCACCTCACATTGGAAGCAATTGCAAAGATGGGGAGGCAATTCAGAAAGCAGTGCGTCAGTGTCTTCGGATGGCTGGAACGGAATTTTACAGAATGGGAATTTTCAAACTCCCAGAACGCTGGGAGAAATGTGTACAAAGAAGTGGCGATTATGTGGAAAAATAAAGAAAGGTCTGTAGATTGAGGTTGTGTATTTGGTTTGTCAATAATAAAGCATGTTACTTTACAAAAAATTGTTGCTCAAGACTTTCAGTACAACCCTCGTACAATAAAGTGATTTATATTAAGTGAAACCAAACAAGTCAATCAGTTTATTATATTAATCACACTACATATTTTGGTCTCTTTTGACCATCATCACGTGTGTATGAATAAAAATAATAACCATACAACATCTGTGCTGAATTATATGGTGAAAAATGGATCCAATTTCTCAGCCTCATAAAATTAAAGATTGTGTAGATGTTAGGGACTGAATATATGAAAATATTGTAACGTATTTGCGCTATGCAGGACGGCCCCTCCCCCACCAGTGGTGGCGTAACAGCGCTGCCGCTGCTGTGGTGACGGGCCGGTCAGCACTCTGCCCCCTCCCTCACAGTGACGTGGCAGGTGACAACAATGACATAGCAGGGGATGTTGGGGTTGCTATGCAGCAATAAACAACTCTCAATAGCGTTCCCAGAAACGCCTGTAAACACGGCGAATAGGCAACAGGGAAGCGAGCCGTTTTCCCGTTGTCTGGCTGAAGGTTTATAAGAGAACTGCACTGCCTAAGGAGTCAGTTCAAATGTAGCAGCTGCCGAAGACAGTTGAAATATAGCAGCAGTCGTGGAAAGAAGACCTGAACGCATGGTTAGAAGATCTTACGTGATAGTGTGCGATATCTGAGAAGTCAGCAAGTGAAGACTTATTGTGTGAATTCAAGATTGTGTATGCTGTAGTACAGTTATATTCGGAGTGTGTAATTAAGAGAGACTCGTATAGCTCCTGAGTTCTAAATACATGAAGACTACTGAAGAGATTATTGTGTAGGGTTGTAAAGTGTGTAAACCCGTAACAGTGTTATAATGAATTGTAGTTATGATTTGTAGGTTGTTAAATAAACCAATTAACAATCCTAACGGTGTCTTCAGTAGCAAAACACGTTACAATATATTTGCAATGATAAAGAATTATTAAACTTTACAAAATGTATATACAGGGTGTCCCAGGAGGAATGTGCCAAACTTCGGGAGGGTGTTCCTTATGTTAAAGTATGCCGACATAACCCAAAACACCTATGTCCAAAGTTGAACGGGTACGGAGATAATGGCCCAAGAAAAGTGTGGTCTTCTGGCAGGTCCAAGCACTGTACCTCGCTGTACCTCTCAGCTGAGAGCCCTTATCTATGTTTGTCCTTGAGTGCGATGATACTCCCTAGCCGTGCTTATGTAGTTGGCTCATACCAGAACGCGCAGTCAGCACGTTACGTCATCGCTCGCCAGTCATGTGTTATGTATACTGCTTGGAAACCTAAGGACAATTATGACATGGCGAGCGAGTATTTTGTACTTCAATTTTATGGCTTTCCGTCACTCACAAGTTAGTTTGATGTTACGTACATTATTAACATTACAGAATCCACATATTCCTGCCAGTTTTAATATGTATTTTGTAATCAACAAGTGTGTAACCCCGGTCAAAGTTTGACACTTCTCTGGCCATTATCTCCGTAACCGTTCAACTTTGGACATAGGTGTTTTGGGTTATATCGGCATACTTTAACATAAGGAACACCCTCCCGAAGTTTGGCACATTCCTCCTGGGACATCCTGTATATAACACAATATAGATATACATAAGAAGTAGCCTAGATGGTGGTTGTGATGTGCTAGGTTGTCAACTACCAAGAAGCCAATGGTACATCAGAACACACACCACAAACAGCCACAAGGAATACCACCACATAAACAAACCACAAATGATGATGAGACTATACACAACAAGATGTGATATTCAAACAATATGCAGAGAAATCTGCAACACAAATGAATATTATTTCACAGCAATAACTTCAAAGTGCAAAAACCACACACCACAATACAGCCAATATTCTCCACTATATCACAAAACATATAACACGGACAAAAAATTAGAATAATGCGAGGACACATAAACTTGCCAAACAGCTTACCAATTGTAACTAGCATACATATAAATAAAATTAAAATTTACAGTACCTCCCCAAAACAGGAAAAAGAAAAAACACGACATACCACCCTACAACCACGATAATGGCTACTTTATATATGTATTTACATTTTAAAACAATTGTGGGAACCACATTCTAACATGCAGTTTCGCTGGTCTAACAGACAACATTCAACTTCTGCTCAAGCCAAGTCACTGTCACACTGTCATATTTATACAGCACTTGCTGTCTGGCCCACCTGTAGATCATCGCGTGCACTGGTCAATCAGCACTCACAATCGCAGCTGCACCTTTAGCTCCGCCCAGCAAGCATGGTATAAAAGGCGGAGCTCAAAACTCGCTATGATCAGTTCTTCTTCAATCGTCTTCACTGAGCCAAAGACAGCTAACGTAGCTACACTGACGTCACGAAGCAACAGCTCTCCAGCAAACAACACTGAGACAGCGGACTACACCAGCGTGTGCACTACAGCGCCAGGCCAGCTAGTCTCCACTCTCACACTGACTTGCAACCGCCGGGTGGCCATAAAGAAAGTCCGGACTATCCGACTAGGCTCACCGCTATCCTCCCTGCTCATAACTGCTCAGCGACTGTAAAGGAAGGCCCACGCTACTACTAGAACAAGCATGGCGGACCAAACAGCCCTTATCAGGGCCCACAAACTTGTGAGCAACATATATATATATATACATTGAGACGGCTTCGCAGTTATTCTGTACATTTGAGAATATATACAATTGTTAAAGTTTTACGTGCTTGTCTCTTAGAACATCGACATCCCATACATTCAATAATTCTTTATCATTGCAAATGTATTTTGTATATTCAACCCCTAACATGTATACAACTGTTAATTTTATAACACTGAAAAAGTAACTATTTTTCATCATATAAATCAGCATAAATGTCGTATATTTACTGTTTTTATTCATACACACCTGATGAAGGTCAAATGAGACTGTGGTGTGTGGTGGTACTAAAATAGTAATAACATATATACATAATACAATGCATAAAACAAAAAATAAAAATGCATTTATGAACTGAGCCTCAAATTATCAGTCGGGTCAAGCTGATTATGAAGCCAGCAGAACTTGCTTCACTCATTCTGTTAGCACAACTCATTAACAAATATAACCTTACACACATCTGTGAAAAACTTTGTGATATATTTCAATCCCTCTCCCTGCATATTCTCACAGCCAACATAATGTTATGCCAGAGTAGTTTCAAGGGGCATTTCAAATTTCTAGTAGGTTTATGACACTATCAGCAGCAAGCACAAGGCTAAGAAACCTAATATTGTATCTATTAAGAATTAGTTGAATGTTGTACCTGCTATAATAAGATTTTAAGGATGTCATAAGAACAAGCAGTGGCTTCAGGCAATTGTGAGGTAAATGCAAAGCCAGAATAATGCAGAAAATAATTCTACTTGTACTCTGATTGTCCCTGAATGTGGATAATGTAACAACAGTTTCAAGCATCCTTTATATTGAGATGTGTTATATTACGCCCATTGCTGCACAACAGCTGCAATGGGTACACATACTTCTGCGACTTTGAATACATGGAAACTGATGAGTTCCCACAGCAACAAATGCAATAACAGTGAGCCATTGCGTAGGAATTGCTGAAACAACAAATGCATTTCCCCGGAGATGAGAGACAACAGAGGGTCATTGGATGACAACGGCAAAACTGAACTGTTGAGAACGGGGTTCTGGAAGCGGTCCACAAAACGCCTATATGGGGCTTGAATGCACCAGACAAGTTAGTTGAAGACTGGCAGTCACCAAATTCAGCTGTATCAAGCTGCGAAGTAAGACAACACTGAGATTCATGCCGCAAGCAGGACTGCAATAAGGAAAGTGATAATAATTGTACTCACTAGTGTAAAAGTGAACGATTAATAAATGTATTCATTCCGATCCGAAGACCCACGCTATCTATTCATGTCGCATCACACAGCTGACATGTTACGATATTTATTCAGACTTCTCTCATATGTCAAAAACAAATCTTAAAAAATATGTGTAAGATTTGAGGTTTTTATGGCACCCATGCTATTTATACATGTCGCATCACACAGCCGACACGTTACAATATTTTTTCAGAATTCTCTCACATGTCAAAAACAAACCTTAAAAAATATGTGTAAGATCTAAGGTTTTTATGGCAGCAAAAATTTAAACTGTGGTCTTCTGAGTTATGATCCTGTGTGGTTTCGTTACATGGTTATCAACATTTTGGAGGAAATTGCTGATACCCTCATCTTCACGTTTCTACCCTGGTTGGTTACCATCTATGAAGCTGCATGGTATCATAATCCAGAAGACCACAATCTTAAAAACATGTTTCATTACTATTCACCTCGTGCCTTTGTTTCACAAAAAGGAACTGCAAACTTAACCAAGTATGAAGAAAGCAGTCTTCTGGGATTTTGCACCGTGTATATGTGGTGTTAACCGACGTTTCGGAGGAACGTATCGCCTCCATCTTCAGGGTAGAAGAAAAAATATATAAGAAATCTGCAAGCAAAGAGACCGTGAGAACCGGTAAAAGCNTCTTAACCAAGTATATGCAAAAACACAAATGGATAAATTATGCAGATTGCCACAATTTATATTTTTTCTGATATTTAAGACAAATACATGTTTGCCAATATCCTGTCTGCCTGCCACAGTTAGGGGGCAATATTTATCCTGCATGGATGAATACAACATATGTTCTTATGTTAAAATTAAACCTGTACCTACAACATTACTTTTTACACATATTTTCTACCTCAGATTTCCTGAAACAAAAAATCACTGTTATAGACCTCTGTTCATCTGGTAGAACAGTCCCATACCTTTCTGTGTAGTGAAGGGACTGAAACAGATCTGGACTGTTGGTCCAATCTTCATGCTTATTTAATGGCAGTAGACATGCACTAGTTTAAAGCAAAAAGACATATGGGATGATCCAGACCAAGTCGATTCATGCAGGTATTAGAAAACATCAATAAGACAAGATAAAACCAAGCCATAAACTGAAAAGGAAAGATAGTTGAAAGGGGGAAGTGACTGGAAACTTTTAGTTCATCAATCTGTACACGAACAGAAATGAAGCTGACAGAATAAGATGTAATATGCAAGCTACATGCTGCAGAGACATTAGAACAAAGGAACTGATGTGACCAAGTAGAATTCCTTAAAATAATAACTGAAGTGCTCACTGTGGCTCTCACCCCATGCAGCTTTGTTGGTGCGTACCTACAGTTTTGAGAAAAACACTGCCTCCATCCTGAGTGAAGTGGTACTGGTGGGTCACTCAGACCCCAGATGGGGCCAGATATGAACCAACAGGAATCATATACAGAATGTCTATTTTTAGGACCACCCGGAAGACAGATGCAGTGTCTTCCTACAATACACTAAAATCTACCTAATATGGTGTCACAATCTGGAACACCACAATCTGTAGAGCCACCACTGTTGAAACCTCAAATCTTATGAACAGAACATATTGTTTTATGTAGAAGCACGAAAATTCTACATGTGAACAGACAAAAGTGAGGTTAAGTGAAGTTGGGTCAGATTTACATGTTCATAGTTCAACACGTGCTGTTTTCACAGCAGTGATCCTATGTAAGTTAGTAAAAATAAAGAATACTAGGTGGCTTGAACACTTTTGTTCTGCCAGAATAGAGAAATAATTAATTTTCTGAACTATTTGTTAAAACTGGTAAACACAAATAGTTGTCACAGTAGAGAAAGAGAAGTGAAAATCATACAGCTTACATGCTACTCACATCATCATTCATAACTCTAGCACTTATTTGTGATGGTCTTGTACTGCAGTTGCTGAGGTGGGTGCGAATTTACCCTCGAGGAAATCAACGTGAACAATGTATACTTTTCCAAACAAAGCATGGTCTCTTTATAGGGACTCTGTTAAGTTATTCAGACTGGATAAATCTGATATACACAAGCAGAATCAAGTAAATTGGAGCCAGTACAAGAATGTATGGTCTATTGATGCACAGGAAACCTACAATCAAAGTTCTTGCCACACATGAGAAATATAGAATTTTACTTTCTTTACAGTTTTCACTTTCATTTATGAAGAAAAAAGATAGCAATAAATATGCAACATTCTTATGGGGAGGGGTGAGACATGTGAATTACCACCATTGGCTGAAGATATAACGAATGAAGGAAACTCTTGATTAAGAAAAGGAGTCTGTTTCAAATACCACAAAGATTATATGAAGAGATGGTATGTAATTACATGCATTGTAAGTCCACCAGGCATCTATGCACCAAACGCTGACTGCATATATACTCTCTGTACATATTAACCTTAACTCAGGCCCTACTATGATTCATTTTCTGTGTAACATGTTTTCACTTACAAATTTTATATCATATAAAAGTTGGTTCAGTCAAAATACTGTAAATTCTTTAATGTGATGATATGATAAAAACAGTGACTTACATGTGTTCTGCACAGCATCCATTCTGATATGAAGGTACTAGGAAAGAGCTGCATGCAAATACAGTGTGCTGCCGGTCGTGCAAAATGTTATACAGCTTAACATTACAACTCATATATGGTTTATCTTACAATTGCACTACATATAACAGGAAATGGGCGGCCATTAACCAGGCCTACTTGTGACAAAACAGCCAGGTAAGGATGGACTGAAGTACAACCACCATAACAACTGTGAGCACCAGTTCCTGACTGAGACCAAAACTGGGCGCAGACTGTTTCTCTGCGCTGATCTCCCTCTGAACCTTCGCCAGATGTTCCAAACCTCGTTGAATACGGCCTAGTTTCTCTCCCTGGTCTTGTAATGTGTTTTCCAAACCAGACACAGCTTCAATCAGTCTATGGACATTATAAAGGTAACACAAGAACAGAGAAATCAATCAGTGTCAAACATCTCATTGTTTACATCAAATCAACCACAGAAAATAACATGTGGTGCATCCAGTTTTTTAATGAATATATAAACATACAGCCTGACATTTTTCAGCCACATATGGCTGAAGGTGTCTCCACCTTATTGTGGTGAGGGGGTTTGAGTATGCCAAGGACCCTGAGAGCTATACCAGCGGTAGTGTAGCTACTGGCAGGGCCTCCCTTGCTGGACAGGTCAAAGGGTAGGCATCAGATGAAGAGACACACCATAAACCAAAAACTGATACTGGAAGCAGCGTCATCAGCAGCGACTTGAAGCACAGAGCAAATGATGCTCGAGACGGTTCAAGTTCATATAGCAACATGCGTGACCAGAGTGGTTTGAATGGCTTTTGTACTGCGATGCAAATGGAAAAACTACCACATTATCACTTTTCCTGGATAGTCTCGTTCCAAAAACAGACACACCATGTATGCGAACCAGAAGATGAGGAAGAGGACGTAAGAAGATGCTGGATGACCTTGGGGACAGAAGAGGATATTTTTATTTGAAGGAGAAAGCTCTGGATCACATTAAGTGGAGGAACTGTTTTGGAAGAGACTGTAGACCTGTCGTCTGACAGATTACCGATGAATGAATGAATGAATGAATGAATGAATGAATGACTGGCCATCTTCTGCAGCATCCAGTAAAAACAGGAGACTTAAATAAATTAAATAAAATTTATATGAATTATTTAAAATCTATACATAAGACACTTAATGACATTAAAAATTTTACACTTAACATTTCACTGGCTTATGCTGCTTTTAACAACGCTGATCTATTTTACATAATTCATGTAAATTTTTAATCAACTTATGTAGGGTTTCTTTTTATCACTGGATGCCTCATAAGATGGTCACATATGAACAAAACATGTCTGGCTTTATAATATTTATTACTAAAAAGAACTAGATGCATTAAATGGTATTTGCTATGTTTAACCTTTATCCTACGGCCCTTTAAATTCCAGTTGTGGCAGCCATACGGAATTCTTTAAAGGGCCGCTCTTAGAAATCCGTAAAAGCTGTAGTCACTTACTAAATATGCTCCTATTTCTGCAATTTCTGTGATAAACGAACGAAATAAACGCTGTTTTTTTCTCTAAAGAATATAGAATGAGATATTGTAATTTACAGATTGTATAAAACATGTTAAAATTTTTGCACTGACACCAAAGGAGAATTTTCGCAGTTTCTTGTTTCTGTGCAAGAATTCATACGTTCTGGACACCCCTGAATGGAATTTGCTGATGACG